AGGATGTTGAGAAAATTGACGACGGGGGTGGAGATGGCAAAGAAGGCGGGGGTAACGGCGTTACAACCACCGGAGGGACGGGGCGACACAGAACGGCCACAAATAAACGATCCACAATTCACCGGAGGACGAGACAAGAAAGCTTTACATTGCCCTGGAGACCTCTGAGCAGGTCTTCCCGGCAAACAATTTCTCCGATCATCAAACTCCGGCAACCTCAAACACACAGGCGCTTCTCCAGTAAAGAAATTGTAACTATAAGTGAAGTTCTCAAGCTTCGGTAGCTGACAAATACTCGCCGGAATCTTTCCCGACAACTTATTATGCGCCACATTAAGCTGCTCCACCGAAACCATCTCACCAACACTCTCCGGTAACGGCCCAACAAGTTCGTTAAAACTAACGTCAAACACCGTCACGTTCTTTAACCGTCCGATATCAGACGGTAAACAAGAATTAAGACCATTGTTCATAAAGATGATCTCGTTAAGATTCTTCATCTCCACCAAACTCGAAGGTACACAACCATGGAACCGGTTATTCGCCAAAACAATAACCGAAACCGGCGAATCACCGAAATTCTCCGGTAACTCAAACCGGAACCGGTTATGGTTTATAAAAATCGCGTCAAGATCTTTACTAAAAAGCTCTTTAGGTACAGTTCCTTCAAATTCATTAAACCGGAGATCTAAAAACTTCAACGACGGTAATTGCAAGACAACAGTCGGGAATTTCCCAGCGAACCGGTTGTAACTAAGATCAAGCTCGAATAAAAGCTTTAGCCGGTTAAACCGGTGTGGTACAGTACCACAAAACCGGTTTGAATTAACATGAAACAAAGCGAGATCTGATAACAAACCAAGCTCTTCAGGTAAATAACCAGCGATATCGGCGTGATTGAGATCGATTCCGGCGACGGTACGGATCTTCCGATTATCAAGCGCCGGAGAACAGAAAACTCCGGTGTAGTTACAGACATTGGATCCGATCCAATTCGAAGTGAAATTGTTTGGATCAGAGAGAATCGCTTGTTTCCAAGCTTGTAGAGCTATATAAGCATTTCGTAGTCTCGGATTCTCGAATATTAGAGAAGGATCAACGGTGATTTTGACGCTTCGTTCGGCGAATTCGAGTAATTGACGGCGTTGAATGTGACGGACTTCGTTATCGGAGAGAACACCGCCGTGAGAGAAAGAGTTGGTGAGATTGATGAAGAGGAAGAAGAGGAGGAGGATTTGGATCGTCTTCTTCATTTCAGTTCACAAGACATCTGAGTGAAGTGGCAATGGGGTGAGAATTCGAAAGAGAAGTGAGGGTAAAATGGGAAATGTAGATTGTATAATAATAATGTTATGGAGGATTTTTGGGATGGGGGAGATTTGAGGAAGAGAAGGGTTTGTGTTATGTTGTGTGGAAGGAGAGATATGTTGGAATATAAATGAAAGAGAGACAGCTCATTCACAGCTCAAGCCTATCTTTTTTTTTTTTTTTTTGCATTTAAAAATTTGGTCTTCCAAAAATTTATAATTATCAATTTCACCTATTCCCATATAATCACTCTGTTCTAATGTGAAGAATGAGTTGTGGACAATCTGATTTACTTGTTTTTGTGGTGTTTTGGTATTTTGAAAACTGAAACTTATATAAAATCATTTGTAATTCCGTTTGGTTTTGGTTTGGTTTAACATATACAAGTTTCAGTTCGCTTATGATTTCATTTTTTTTGTTTAAATTAAAATTTATATATTTAGTGTTGTAATTATTTTTAATTATTATGTAAGATTTTAAAATATTCATTATTCAAACTACCAATTTTTTTTGGTGTGATTAGGTTCGATTTATTTCTACATAAATTTTGGTTTGGTTCGGTTGATTTTTGCAGTTATAGTTTTTTTTTGCTCTTACTAATATATTCTTCGTACAATTTTTCACTTGAGTTACAGAAACTGGTTAAATTTTTATTATCTATACTAGTATTTTTGCAACACTTTGGTGACGTATGGGTAAAAATGCTTATGGGTTAATCGGATATCCGACCCGTTTCAAAAAATCATTCACAAGAAAATTTGTTGGGTCGGGTTATATTTAACCCAACTCATACACCGGATATTCCATATTTAATAATTTAGAGATTTAGAAGATTTGATTAAGATTTATAATTATGATTCTCCTATCATTTTTATTTAATTTGTTTTTAACTGTTTTGAATCATCATATAATACATAAAGTAAAAAAAAATCAATTTTTTTCTGCTGTGATTCGAAATTTTAAAAACGGACATATATTATCCAATTGACGAAAATGTGTTCAACTTTTTACATCGATTAAAATATTTAGAAAATGATTCAGAATCATATCATAAATAAGAAGATAAATAAAATAAATGAGTTTTTTGGCCGGACGGGTTTGGCGGGACGGGTTTTTGAATCAACAATAATAAAAAGATTAAAATATCATTAATCTGTTGCTTCAATACGGATTAAATCCTTTTTTTTAATACCACAAATATTAGACATATTAAATCAGTCTCATTTTGAAAAGATTGTATCAAACCAAAAATTGTCCCGTGATATAATGTTACTTAATAACAATATTTATAAAATTTTAAAATATCATTAACATGCTGCTTTAATACATATTAAATCTTTAGTTTATTAAAATATAAATGTCTTAGAGAATGATATGATTTGTAAACTTTTATATATAATAAATAATCATTAAATTTTAAAATAAAAACAAATCAAGGGACGTGTTAAGAAATTACGGAACATGTTATATTTCAGAAAAGATTTATATGGCGGACGAATTTGAATCAATATTTATATACCGCTTTAATATGGGTTAAATCCTCAGTTTACTAATAATTATCTTGTGGACTCGTGGTATACCGTTACTTAATAACAAGTGAAAACTATAATATAAATAAATATGTTATAAGGAGATACAATTTACAAAATATTTTTATACTAACTTTAAAATTAAATCATCCCGCGGTGTACCGCGGGTTAAAATCTAGTATTTATGTAAAAGCATAGTTGTTTTTTTTGGATTTATGATTGATTTTTATATTCCTTTTTAATTTTAATTGGGGATAATAGATATTTTTGTTAAATTTGTATTGAATCATAATTTTATAATTGGTATCTCATCTCTTGTAACTATATTTGACCTTCTTTTATTTTCTAATAAATGGGTTTCCCTATATGTTATTGTTATTATGAAATGCATGTGATTAGTTGTATCTTGTATGAATATATTTATATATTTCACCAAAATTAGGAATTGTTGATCAATTAGATTATATGCAAAAAAGATGTCTTCACCGAAAGGTCTTGTGTCCTCACTTTGTTTACTTTTCATATATCCCAATCATCTACAGCGCATACAATATTCCATTAATATTGGGATCAAAGTTGTAACTTGTAAGAGATTGCGTAAATTTAATGTATTATGTACTACTATTTATAAATTTTGATATATGCATTCCTTAAACGACAATTTTTAATAATTTGACCCGACAAGGTTTCCCTCTATCTCAAAATATAAAATTAATATTAAAATATACTAAATAGAAAAATAAATAATCAAGTTACGGTAGACCGGTGAATTTCGTTTTAATTGTAAAGCTTCTATGTAAATAAAGGTTAATGATCGATTTGTTTTTTTTCAAAAAAAGAATATTGCAAATCACAGTTGAACAATCGATATTTTTAACTGCGAAAAAACTCGGATTTATGTAGACTTTACAGATTAATTTGGGTTTCGGCGTAACATGTTTCGGTTAATAAAAATATCGGTTCACAAAATATTAATAAAAAAATAAGTAGGCATGCATATATAAAAATATTTATAACAAAAACGCGCAAAGATTAAGAGGTGAACGAAGAAAAAGGATAATGCCAGCTTTTGAGAGCTTCTCTTTTGTTCTGTGATGTTGAAATTCCTTTTCAACAGATTCTACAGAAGCAAACAAAAGCAAAAGTCTTCAAATAAAGACATCTAATTATTAATATGAAATGACATTACTCATAACTAATCATACTTATGTTAACAATAATTATTGTCTAATATCTCAAAGCAATATATAAAGAAAAAATGGAGCAGTTACGTAATAAAGAAAAATAATAAATTTAAGAGAGAGGTGGTTAAGTAGTCAAGTTGGTGTTTTTCTTGCCGAGTTTCGGCGTATCGGTTGACCATGAAAACCATTTTTAATTTGATTTATTGCAATTTGTCCGTTGCCGATGAAATTTGGTGATATCACGAGTTTAATTTTATTTATATTTATTTCCCAATCACGAGTTTGTTTATTTCTTTTGGACGCTCACGTTTTTTTTTTTTTTTTTCAGAACCTAACACTCGAATTAAAACGCGGTTGAGTGTTAGACATTGCTAAAAGAGATGTTTTTGTAATTGCAGTTGTCACTAAAATGGATAGAGTAGTTAAAAGCGAGTATGCTTTGATATTTTTCTGGACATGTATAAGCGTTTGAATATATTAATTACTAAAGATCAGACAGACATTGGTGTAAAGTAACAAAAAAATATATTTATTGTTATATAAAAAAGATATTTATTATGAGAAATTATAAGTTCTATAAAAGTTTTACCTTTTAAATAACTAGAAGGTTCATGATACACACATCTCCAAAGCAATGCCCAAACTATGTAATTTTTTGTTTTTTTAGAGCAAACTCTTCGTAACACGAATCAAACCCGTGAAACCTTCAAAATTCTTACGTTTTTGGTAGGTAAAAGTCTTAACCACTAACCACACTCTCTAAAAAATTCGAATATAGTTTACTCATAGAAAATTTAAATTATTTATGTTTGGCTTAATTATTTGCTATTTGTTGATAATTTTTGTTTTTAATGTCAATGTTGACCTCATTGCCCTATGTTCAAATTCTATTTTTGCCATGTACTTGTTTCTAAATTTCCGTTATAAAGCATTTCTGAGATAGGACAAGTTTTGAATTCCCAATTCAAAATATGACCTGAATAAGAATTTCTCAAGTTTTGTTTGGGACAATTATTATATAAATAATTATATATATTCATAGTATATTTTTTTTTTTGTCAAACAAGACTTCTATTTCATTCAATCAATCCACATGGACAAAGTTTACAAAGTCTCTTCAAGCATGAAATAGAGTACAATAATCTTCAAAGAAGAGAAGCTAACATCATAGATAGATAGATAGATTTGATAAGTCATAGAGAATCGGAGACAGAAGCAAGCAACAAGCCACATGCGACCTAATGTTGTTTCATAGACACTTCCGCGAACAATTGGGGAAGATATGAAATAGTCACGATCGAGAGATCTTGTGACGTTGAGAAAATGTCCTTTGCCTCTTGATTCGCCAGCATGAAACGCAATGAGGACATTGGGACCAATGGTTGAATATCATGGAAGATATAAGTTTTTTTGGGTACGGGCTTGAGCTCAAAGTTCAGGGGAAACATATATAAAGCGTTGATGAAGCTATGGTAATCACCGCTCCTTGGAGACGAAATCATAATGTCATTCTTCTTCAAAATTTTACTCGAAGTGTAACATTCCAAGTCTTCAAACCGGGAGCAATGGTTCATCCACAATCGAGACAAGGTTGGGATGACAGATCTAAAATCCTTCATAAGAAAGCTTTCATCGGACAAGACCCGAGATATATTTGCAAACAATACAATCTGAGGAGGGCTTATCACAAGGTTATAATTAAGATAAATGCATAACCAGGCTAAAACTTTTGTCGACACAAGGTAAGAGATGAGTCTTCGACCAATCCAACCAGAGTGTAGAAACATCAGATTTAGTGGGTTTGACAAAAATTTAAAGAGAGCAAACCTAGGCCAGTGTGCTAAATGGGTTGGTGCTGCAATCTTGTAAATGGGCCGAGACTGGGAGCTTCGTGGGCCAAGCCCCTCAGAGGAAAGCATCAGCTCGATTAGGGTTAATCCTTCCGCCGTCAGCTTCATCACCACTTCAGGCATCGCCGGCTGAAAGATTCGGTGAGGCTGGTAATTGACGAGGATCGTGAAACATCTAAACTCCATGGATCTAGATGAGGACTTGAGACAGGTCTCAGATTCATATTTAAGACCACAATTAGATTCAAAGAAAACCTCTTTTGCCGGTTCTGAAACAAAGGGAGAGAATAGCAAGGAGCTTGAGAAAGTGGGCTTCACCGGTGTCTAAAAAATTGGATCTCGTTAACTTCTCGATAAGAAAACAAGATTTTAAGCTCACATTTATACAAATTACGAATATAAGTTGGACGTTTTGAATTTTAGATTAAAAAAACAAAAAATTGTAAAAAAAAAAAAAAAAACAAATTGGGCTAGGCGCTGTTTAGGCGGATAAAAATCGGATCAGCGATTATTCTTACCGATTTGGATAAAATCGCCTCAACCCCC